TCAAAAAAGTTAAGTAATTGCAATAGGGGCCATACAATTAGCTTTAAATTCATTATGGAAACCAAAACACCTTTTTTTGCCTATGAGAATACAACAAAATTAAAAAGAGTCACACACACACACACACACACACACACACACACACACACACACACAAACCTTTTGATCTATTTGGAATCTAGTACAAGGACATTCATTGGCAGCATCGTTTGTCATAATAAAAAAAAGTGAGACAATCTGGACGTCTATGACCAGGGTAATGATTAAATAAAAATCCATATTATGGAATATTAAGCAGCATTTTAAAAAAATAAGGTAGATCTCTATTTCAATATGGAAGGATTTTTACCACACAATATGTGAAAAAGACAATTGTAGAATGTAAGTAAATACATGAATACACATTTACATACAAGCCTTGAAAAATTTCATAGCAAAAAGGATACATACTATTGGGGAAGAGGTTGTATGAAGTGATTAAGAAGGGGCACTGAAATTTTATTTATTTCTAAAATACTTTAATTTTTTCAATAAGCATGCATTACTCTATTACTTATATAATTTGGATGAGTAAATGCAAGGCAGAAAGTATTAAAAATATTAAAACATAACCATACCTGCTGTAGAAAACAATACAATTTACAATGAAGAAAATGAAAATTATCAGCACTTGCATGGATAAAACTGTATTTTAAAGTTATTGCTAGTCTTAATATAAAGGGTAATCTTATACAAATAATTTTTTAAAGGCCAGGTAACATATCAGTGGAAAACAGGGAGAATTACTGAGTATTTAAAGGTGATGAAATATACAATGCAGTTTCATAGCTACAATGAACAATCATCCTGATTCTAAACACTTCCAGAGACAGAGAGAGGGAGGGAAGAGAAAAGGGAGGCAGGAGGGAGAGTGAGCCGAATAAAAAGGTATTAGAACCTATAGATGCTTTGCCTCCATTTAAAAATAGGAATTTGAACATTATGAAATATGCCTCAAAACATAATAGGCAGATTTCATCATTGCTAAATTCATTGATCTCTTAAGAATACTGTAAGTACCAACAGACTAATAAAACATCTATTAGTTACATTTGGGAGCTTAATAAAGTATATAAATCAAATTGCAAAACTGAAAAAATTTAGTATATCTGGGATGAGCCATGCCTAACCCATCCCTATAAAGGGAATTACTCATTAATTTCTCTTTCAATGCTTCAAAAGATCATACAAACTCTTACTCCCATTCAGCTTGGACATGTTACTAAAAGAATTACACATTTTATCTATCTATCATTAGTACTTTCCTTTATTTTATTCTTTAAATCTTACTTACTTTGTACCCCAATCTATGCATTGGTCTTTCTGTTTCACTTCCACTAACCCAACACCATAGAGGCTAGGCATCAATCCCTTACCTAAAATTAAGTCTTAAAATGTCTTAAAATTGTCCAAACATACTATGTTTTATAAAATATTTAATAGACTGGTAAAACAAATCAAAGACTTGCTAAATCCCTCCCTGTGGCAATAACGCTGCTATCTCTAAGAGGTATTTCAAAAACTCTCAAAAAAGTTAAGTAATTGCAATAGGGGCCATACAATTAGCTTTAAATTCATTATGGAAACCAAAACACCTTTTTTTGCCTATGAGAATACAACAAAATTAAAAAGAGTCACACACACACACACACACACACAAACCTTTTGATCTATTTGGAATCTAGTACAAGGACATTCATTGGCAGCATCGTTTGTCATAATAAAAAAAAGTGAGACAATCTGGACGTCTATGACCAGGGTAATGATTAAATAAAAATCCATATTATGGAATATTAAGCAGCATTTTAAAAAAATAAGGTAGATCTCTATTTCAATATGGAAGGATTTTTACCACACAATATGTGAAAAAGACAATTGTAGAATGTAAGTAAATACATGAATACACATTTACATACAAGCCTTGAAAAATTTCATAGCAAAAAGGATACATACTATTGGGGAAGAGGTTGTATGAAGTGATTAAGAAGGGGCACTGAAATTTTATTTATTTCTAAAATACTTTAATTTTTTCAATAAGCATGCATTACTCTATTACTTATATAATTTGGATGAGTAAATGCAAGGCAGAAAGTATTAAAAATATTAAAACATAACCATACCTGCTGTAGAAAACAATACAATTTACAATGAAGAAAATGAAAATTATCAGCACTTGCATGGATAAAACTGTATTTTAAAGTTATTGCTAGTCTTAATATAAAGGGTAATCTTATACAAATAATTTTTTAAAGGCCAGGTAACATATCAGTGGAAAACAGGGAGAATTACTGAGTATTTAAAGGTGATGAAATATACAATGCAGTTTCATAGCTACAATGAACAATCATCCTGATTCTAAACACTTCCAGAGACAGAGAGAGGGAGGGAAGAGAAAAGGGAGGCAGGAGGGAGAGTGAGCCGAATAAAAAGGTATTAGAACCTATAGATGCTTTGCCTCCATTTAAAAATAGGAATTTGAACATTATGAAATATGCCTCAAAACATAATAGGCAGATTTCATCATTGCTAAATTCATTGATCTCTTAAGAATACTGTAAGTACCAACAGACTAATAAAACATCTATTAGTTACATTTGGGAGCTTAATAAAGTATATAAATCAAATTGCAAAACTGAAAAAATTTAGTATATCTGGGATGAGCCATGCCTAACCCATCCCTATAAAGGGAATTACTCATTAATTTCTCTTTCAATGCTTCAAAAGATCATACAAACTCTTACTCCCATTCAGCTTGGACATGTTACTAAAAGAATTACACATTTTATCTATCTATCATTAGTACTTTCCTTTATTTTATTCTTTAAATCTTACTTACTTTGTACCCCAATCTATGCATTGGTCTTTCTGTTTCACTTCCACTAACCCAACACCATAGAGGCTAGGCATCAATCCCTTACCTAAAATTAAGTCTTAAAATGTCTTAAAATTGTCCAAACATACTATGTTTTATAAAATATTTAATAGACTGGTAAAACAAATCAAAGACTTGCTCACTCTGATTTGCCAGGTAAAATGACAAATCCATTTCTGTGTAAGTTGTTTATTGTTTGGGGGAATAAGGAGGTGGAATCACTTATTTCCTAGTCTTTCATAAGGCATTTAATTGCACTGAACAGACATATATAAGAGACCTGCGACAAATAAACCTAAGGGAGATCCATGATGCTCCAAAGTGACTTGGAATATTGTTTTCTAAAGTCTCATGGTAATGACAGGCCCCCTTGGGAGGAAGTTGCTTGGCAACTGGAATTCTTATTTACCAATAGGTAATTTAATATAAAGCCCTCTAAGTTATGCACTGTGTAATCCATTATGTTGTTTGTTCTTACTGGTTATAGAATTCTAAGGACAGTGAGTGTAGGTGGCTACTTAAGACAGTAACAAACTGATAGGAAAAAATAGAATACAAAGTTATACTTAAATGAGTCACTTTCTTCCCTATTCTCTCCCCCTTACCCTATCCCTCAAAGCCTTTTTTTTTTTAAGCAAACACATTTTATTCCCCTTTTTTCCCCACCAAGTATCAAAAAATTCATCCACCCTCCAGCTTCTAAAAGCCACATGGAGAAATAAAAACATGATTTAACTAATAAGAGCTCAAAGAACTATGCAGCAAGAGCACCTGGGTATAAAAAGGACAATTTTATGGAAAGAACTTCACCTGCATTAAGGAATGACAGAGAAAAGGTCCTATCTGTGGATAGAAGGGGCTCCAATATAACTGTTTACTTTGTATGTGAAATACTTAAGACAGAAACATTAGTCAGGAAAAAGGCAATTACTAAGGAAGATGGCTCCCAGAAAAGGCAGCTACTGGAACACATTTAATAGATGCAAGCCAGGCCTGAGCAAAAGGTTTTTCCCCTTTTCTCTTCTCTGTAGAAAAACAGCTCATGTAGTGATTATTATTCCAGATACCACTGAAATTCAATACTAACTTATAAAATGCTGCAATTTTAAAATTTAATTATCAAAAAATAATAGCCTGAATAGCTTGGAAATCTGCCTACTGAAATAACATAAGGAAATCAAGTGTTTCAATTTATAAAAGATGTTTCTATTTATATGGGTTTTTTTTCCTTTTGGTATTCTTGCTCATTTGCTGCTGTAACTTCTACCCAAAAGAACCCCACCCGCACTCTCAAACTGTCTAAAACTATGACAGATTAAAGTGTCTTCAGGAGCTGGGACATCTCAAAGAGAAGAAAAAGGAAAATACTCAGTGCTGTAGTTAAAGACAAGGTTCATTAAATGGGACCTCTTTGAATGAGGCTTCCCTTCACTATATATGTTTGGTAAAAGGAATAAGAGACTATCCTTTAATAAATAAAATTGCATCTGTACTATCTAAGCAATTCTCACCATGACTTAATATAGAAATTCTAGGTTTAGGATGCACAGAAATTAGGAAGGCCGGTGAGTCTAAATGCTGTCTTAGAGCAACTCCAAAAATTGCTCTTTAAGAATAATTAGCACGAAAATCTACCCAGACTGATTTTAGGCTGCTAGCACTCAACAATAAACAAAAGGTTCAGTAATAATTTGAGCTAAGTTACATCAAGCTATCTCAAACCACCCAATCTATTGTTTTTGATGCATGCACTATTAATTCTATGCATAACTCCCTTCACAGTAACTTCTAAGAATATGAGAACAAATTCATTTAATAAACATTTTATCACATACCTACTATATGCTAGGCACAGTCCTTCTAGCTAGAAACAGAAAAACAGTAACTTAAGGATTCACTCTAGTTTATCATCAAATTTCTGATCAACTCTTTAGTCCAATTTTTTAACACTTATAGGAATGTCTGGACTCCAAAGTAATCATTTATAATCACTGTCATTGCCGGGTATTTGGGTTTTGTTTATTTGTTTGGGAGGTATTTTGCAGTGGCAATTCAATCATTTGGAAGTGTTTTTTTGTTTTTTTTTTACCTTCATTAGCCTCTGGCCTTGAATTCTTAATATATGCAGAGAACTTGGCAAAGATGTCCATTCCCGCAGTATTTGATTCTGGGTGTTTTGGTGAAAGCTTTAAGTACCTAAATTAAAAAAGTGATAATGGATTATAGATACTCCAAAGATACATTAGCATAAATTCAATCAACAAACCATTGTGCTAGCAGTTACAGACATCTTTTAACAGTTATTACTCTGAGAAATGCCACCATCTATTTTATATGTTTTTTCCTTAGGAAACAAAGCTCTACATAATATTTTATTCACATATTAATATTCTTGGCAACTGAAAGGCATCCGCACTCCATCTTCACCTATAAATTAGAAGGCTGGGGAAACAGTCAACCTGTTCAGAGACCTATGCCAAGCCAACGGGCATCTTAGAAAGAGAACTCTGTAACAGTGCTATCCAAGAGAACTTTCTGTGATGATGGAAATTTCCCATATCTGAGTTGTCCAATACAGCAGCCATTTAAGACATTTGAGTGTGAATTTAAATGATCACAAAGCTTAGAATTCATTTCCTCAGTTGCAACTAGCCACATTTTAACCATAGAGTTTTCTCAAAGAGGAATGCCAACCAGATCCTTGGTGTGCCATGCACTGAACTAGCCCCGTGCGACAGTACCAGAGAACCCTGGCAGCAGGAAAAGAGTCTAGGCAGCACCCTGAGGTGCCTACAGCACGTTAAGGACAAAAACAGCAGGAGGCAGATCACTCACTTCAATCCTTTGTTCAGGATTTTCTAAAACCTCCCATACATTAGATATTGTAAGGCCGGAGCACAGAAAAATAAGCTATCAGGAATTTTGCTAATAAGGTTTCTGTTGTGCTGTTATAAGGTTTTTCTACTTTGAGAAAGAGACATTCATGACACAGCTTTAAACACACACACACAATTTCACATATTTAAATTCCAAATACTCATACTCAGTATGTAATTCTTCCTCAAAACTGGAAAATACCTGTGAAAAAACTCAATTCTTAACTTCCTGCTTTGGCAGAGCTTATGTCAGCTCCAGGAGTCAGGGCTGGAGGGATTTAAACCATAAGCACCATTTTAGGGAGTTCATCAGCTTAAAAGAGGCTCTGCAAAATTTCTTGGGAAAACGGGCTTGGGGGCAGTAAGATTATGAAAAAAAATCTCACGTTGAAAAATAATTTAGATTTATTCATGTATTTTAAGATGCTGTCTTACTACTTTGCTTTAAATTGAAATGAAGATGGAATTTCTTTTTAGAAAGAAAAGTTACATTGCAAGCTGTAGTTTCAGGTTAGTTTTTATATTCATATTTTTTACATTTACTATTCTGAATTCAAGAAAAGAAGTATCTTCTAAAATTGGACATAGTATATATTGACAAGGAGAATATAAAATATCTATTGGACACCTATGTATTCAAGATATTCTTTCTAAATTTCTCTCAATTTTTACACTTAAAGACTTCTCTTATAAATGAAAATTTTTAAATGAGTTTTTCAATGAACAATAGTAAATGAATTTCACCTGAGTTTATATATATATATATATATATATATATATATATATA